AGTCCACAACTATCGCACTTTAACTCTTTATTTCCTCCTAGATTCTTTTTAATGTAACCACATCTGCTGCATGTTTTACTTGTGTACGCTTCTGAAATGGATATTATTACAACTTTTCCAAATTCTTCTATTTTGGAAATCAATCGTTTTCTAAACCTAGCATGTGCCCAACTCATCATCTTTCGTACTGTATTACTATTAATTTTTCTTTTTTGTCGATGAGACATTTGTGTGCTATCAAATATCAGTAATACAATTATGTCAAAATTACGAGACAACCACAATGCCGCCTTTTTATGTACTTCATCTATTAAGTCTTGAATTCGTTTCCTTAAACGTGCTTGAGCACGTTTCATAGAATTATGCTTGTTTGCTGGTGCTCTAGCAGTATGTGAAATAAGATCATCAAGGGCAAGTTCTAGGCAAAAGACGCGATTAATATCAGTATCACCAAAATGTCCATAGTCAACTGTTGGTGAATACCAAGCGAAAAAGGTGCAGACTCCAGGATCTATAGCTGCTACATGAATATAATCTGCTTGATTCTCACAGATATTCTTGCTATAAACCCAAATAAATATCCATTGTCTTAATTTTTTATTATATGACAATTTTGAATCCAACATTACTTTTACTTCTTGATTTGGCCAACTATTATTTTTCTGTCAGTAAAGTGGTGGCTTAATGTTATTTTGTTTATATCATAGATACTCAAGATTAGCTTGAATAATTTGCTTATTATATAAGAGCTGTAAATAAAAATAGAGTGCTCATGACAATATTGGGCTCAGATAGTTATAGTCTGTTGTTCATTCTGCATAAAAATAATAATATAGAACTGTTTTCATAAAAGCCCACTCTTTTGTTGTTTTGATACAGTGTTTAAGAAGAATGCGAAAAAAAACTGTTTAGTCATGCGATAGTTATGCTTATAATTAGCAACTACCATATTATAGACAAGTCTCACACAACCTATCCATTGTTTTAATAGCTCCTTTTGTGCTTTATTAGGATATACTCGAATTTTAATTAAGCATATTAATGACTCCTTTTTTTTTCGCTTCATCTGTCGTGTTGTCTATATTTTTTTTTCACTTTCTATTATGAATTTTGCCCTTATCATCATTATCATTTGTATTTAATTAAGTATATTTAATTTCAAGATAGTTTTCATTAGTTTTTGGCATTATAGTCTGAGAAAGCCAAGAACCTTTAATTGATTTGTCTAACAAAGATAAATCTGCAGTTGGTAACTATAGTTTCTTTGACCAGTCCACAATAATGATAGTGATAATATAATATTGTTTATTCATTAAGTAAATACTAAGTTAATGCATAACACAGCCTATTAAATTACCATACCCATTTTCCGTAGCATGTTTTGAAAACATTAGACAGATCTTGATCACTTGATTAGACAGTAATAGTAAATAAATAAATGACACAAAGTTGGTCTATTACTCCTCTATTAAAATTCTTCACTTACTTTAAAAGAATTATTCAACTAAAAAAATTTATAACTAATATACTTCACTTGACACACTTATACTCACATATACTTTAATGTAAAGTAAATGATAAAAATTCAGTAGATCGATTAAATTTTTGATCTGTTACTCAATTTAAAATATTATATTGATATATGAATAAATTATATATATGATTAAATCATATATAAATTATATACTGTATTTTAGAAAATAGTATAAAGGTAGCTACATTTTTCTCATATTCATTCAGAATTTCTATTATTTAAAAGTTAAAATCAAAATTATTAAAATGAAAGAGGATATACACAAAACCAAATGTTATAGAAAAAATAAAACTTGTTGGGTTGGAAGACGATTACTATATCAGTGGTTGAAACTATCAATACCAATACTGATAATACCGACGATACTGATAATACCATCACGAGCACCAATATCAATACTAATATCAGAAATTCAAATACTACCACTATCAATACCAGCATTGATGATATCTCTGACAAAAGTAAAAATACTTTCAAAAAAATAACAGGATTAATGCCATATATTAAATGCATTATTAGAGGATTGTATATTACTTATTAAGTGATTTTTACATACTTACTTTACTAACAATTATATTTAAATAGTTCCCGAATCCTTAATTATGAAATAATTGAGCCTTTTGACATATCTATTAACGAAAACACGTGGACAGTTAAAGTATTATCAATTTTTCTTGAATCATTATTAAATTCTGTTCCTAATATAAAAATTTCTTGATATGTATACCAAAAATAAAATAAAAAATGCAACAACTATAATAATATAGTACTTAACTTTAAAGATTAATTTTAGGGCTGAACATCATTCAATTGTTTCCAAAGCACGTATGAACATTGTTAAAAAACCTGATGTGAGTAATAATCAAATTTAATTTATAGAATGTGATTAATAATAAATTTATTTAAATACAGGAGGAAAGGCCAGGCTATAAGGTTGATTTAACGTCACGTGGCAAGATTATTGGAAAAAAGAAAAATGGGGGTAATTGTGGAAGAATTTTCTGGAAAACCTTTTGAGCCTCTTCTTGATAAGTGTTATAAGAATAAATACAAGCTTTTCTGATACATGAAAGATATCCTTGATCTTCATATTTCAAGAATTCTTAAATTTTGCAGTGAAATGATTAACAAAGAGATATATAATATCATTCAAACCATGCAAGTTTTTGAAGTACACACACATGGTAGGAATATTTTTTCACAAAATTTTTAAAGTTCAGATTACAAGCTCACTCATAAAATATACCAATATTGATTAGAAACCACTCTGAATATATATATTTTAAATAAGCCTTTTCCCTAGTATATGTTGTAAATTTGTAGTGTTCTCTGGCAGTTCCATATCGAAAAAGTAAAGGTTTCCAAGACCATATTCATAATCTGATTGAAAAACTTTGAGCATATCTTAGAGTAATATATAAAATAAAGAATGCTTTTACCTTATAACAATTTGACCTTTACTCTAACTTATTTTTCATCAGGATAGAATTGTGGATAAAATTCTTAAAACTATCAAAATACACGAATTATCTACTATGATACGCGGCTCATAATATACTAGCATACTTCAAAATTTACGTGCAATAACTATTGTATCTTCTATAAAATATCAACAATCGAAATAACTGTAAAGTTGTGAATATTAATTAAAATCACCTTTATTAATTAAATAATTCAAGGGGTTTTTTTACACAACTACCTTATTAACTAAATGTTAAATAATCTAATTCTTTGTGATTTCTGATAATTGTAATGTAAATTAATATTGAAATGTTAATTGAAATTTAATTTCAACAATGATAACGGATATTACAATTCATTCAATTGATTTTATGATTATTTATTAGAATAATGATATTCAAATTATAAATAAAAATATAATTATATTTGAGATTAAAGATTTTTGTTATCTATTTTTCTATTTAAAATTTAACAGATATCTGAATGTCCGGGTCACATCATAAAAAAATTCAGGAATTAACTTTGCATTACCTCGCTTTCTGCTTTCCTAGTTTCAGAGGCACTTCAAATGGACCCTCACAATATTTTGACATCCAATAATCAACCTTGGATATCTATATAATATCTTCAGTTGCAACTAATCGATTAAAAAAATTTTACCGATTTATAACACTAACTAATCAAATACACGTATTCTATATCATTATACTCATAACTCTAAAGGACAATTATTTACAATCTAAAAGCACTGCAACTAATCAATTAATTCTTTAATTGATTAGTTGGTGTCTAAAAAGTTCAGTCAATTAGTTGTCAACTAATCAACTAATCGATTTTGATTTGTCATTTAATTTTATACTAACGAATATCAACTCAAATTAATAAAATGTTTATTTTTATCAAAATTTAAAACAAATTAATTCAATAATTAAAATAAATACAAAGAATTAATGTTTATATCAAACTCTGAATTTTTTTTAAAAAATATAATGATTGTAATTTAAAATTTACATTTCTATTGATTTAATTTTAATGTAGTTGCAAGCAATTTAAGTTGCGAATTATGTCTTTTTTCACAAAGCATGATTAGATTATAATTTTGACAGATGAGTTCTTAGAGATGATCATTATATAAAATTTTTATTCTAGAAAGCAATAGATATTTATTATGTTTAATTTTATCATAATTTACCAAAACTCAGTTCATTATCTGACGGTATCTTGATACCATAGAAGAATAAACTGAGTTCAATTTTAATGTTCACCAAAATTTTTTTTTATATGTTTTATTAATAAAAATTTGAAAAATTAATATTCTCAGAGAACATTGAAAATATCAGATTTCCTACACTGGTCTAGATCTTAGGTGTTATCATGATCTTTCTTTTTAATACTTTTCATCATTAACTTTTATGTTTATAAAGTAATAAATTGACTTAATTACAAAATATAAGATAAAAATAGTTAAAATATAAATTATAAGTAGTTTTTAAATTATTATAATAGCATTTTAAATAAAAGTATATAAATAATATTCAATAAAAAAAGAAAATTTTTAGGAAATAGATTGCAGGTTGACGTAAAAGATGTATTATTATAAAAAGCTTTATTCGATTAATAAATCTGCACAATCGATAGCATGATATAATAAAATAATTATTAGTGCATAATAAAGAACAAAGTTTAATCGAATTTTTTAATTCAATTTACATTTTATTTAATTACAATGCTTTGAAAATAATGCATTGAGAACTCTTCAATAATTTGAGCATTTTGAAGAAATATATAAAATAAAAGCATACTGTATATCTTAAATATTACTGCAAAGTTTCGATGTCTAAATCAGCTGAAATGTACTGTGAATATTTGGCAGTTCGAAAAAAATTTAAAGCAGAAGAAGCCAGATATCAAATTGTGTTATTGAAGTTATTCCAAACTGTTGCTTTTTCTTCAGACTACCA